GGGTATTTTGAGGTAGTCAGGAGGAGGAGGGTGTGACAGGACTGCTCGAAGATTAAAACAATCGTCTCTTGATTTCTTCCTCACTCAGGGGAAAAGTGGAAGCCGTCTGTTATCGTGTGTTTCTATTATTATTCTCCGTTTACAGTTTGGCTGTTCACTCGGGGCCTTTAATGAGAGAGTCAGCCATTCTCCTTCCTCTACATCTCTGCTCTTTTTAGTCAGCCCAGAAAACTTGTACGAGGTCAGACTTTCACAGCTACACAAGGGAAGCCAAAAAACGGACATGGATCTGTTGTCCTATGGTTCACATGGTTTCATCTGACAATAATGTGGTGATAAACGTGAGATCATGCAAAGACTGGGAGCTTCTTAATAATGTTAAGACAGTAAAAAAAAAAAATCACACAAAACTCCAGCTCTTGTTTTGTCTTCATTTTTATGCTTTGATGAGGGAAAAAAAACTGAACTTTAGTAATAATCTTTGCCAACATTATTATACAACACAAGGGATGTATTGCGAGACCTCGGGCCAGTCCATTACGGACTACAGTGGGGTGACACAGCTCAAGGAAGAACCTTTATGATAATTTCTTAATCATTTCCATGAAGTAATAATCACCATATTAATCATTTTTCACTGCAGACACCGTAGTTCTTCTGCCTTAGCATCTCGGTTTGATTGCATTTCCATGATGATCATAAATGTTCTTCCTTGAGCTGCGTCACCCCACTGTAGTCCGTAATGGACTGGCCTGAGGTCTCGCTACAAACAATGGGCTGCTGGAAGAGAGTAGGTGAGTTGTGTTTAGTCCCTTTGCTAAAGAAATTAGGCAAAGCTAAAAAGATGTTTGGTGGTTAGTGCTACGGCTGAGACCCTATATGTACTGTTGATGAAGTTAGTTGCTGATCTGAGCATTATCTGTGGCTATAGAGAGGCGTTTTGGTTGAGGTTTGTTTATGGCTCCTCAGACTGCTGTGTATTGCTATCATGTGGTCATTCCTAAAGTTGGTATAACTATAGAAGCAAGCAGTCTGCAACATTTCACTCTCGAGGGGGTGTCCAACTCGATGTTATGGTGTGTTTGACCCTAAATTAATTTTACGCCGGAATATCCCTTTAACCTATTAAAACTACAGATTTAAGAGATAGAACTATAAAATACTTCCCATTTCTATCAAAATCATTGTTTTTTACCTCATTCCCTGGCCAAACAGGTAGTCATGAATAATTACAATCATCGTACAAACGATAAAGTAACAGAAGAAACACAAACTGTAACCACAATACAACACAAAAATCTACCTTTTTTTTTAACATGAGTGTATATAGCACAGGGAGAATAAATCCCTGAAGGCTTTGTCTGTGTCCCCCATGTGTCTTTTTATATATTTCAGTCAAATTCAAGCAGCATCTGCAGACACAGAGCTGCGTTTGAAACGTTATTCTGACTCACAGAGAGAGCAATCAAGCTGAACCACAGCTGCAAGAGGCAGAACAGTGTGACACACGAATACAGGAGACTGTCTCTTACTGTTGTTTCAGCATATTTTTATCCCCGGACAGTTATTCTTTATAACAATTTTCACCGTACCCATGACTACAATGAAAAAAAAATTACAATGATGATGATGAGGATGATGAAATTGATGACAGATTTGTCGCTCACTAAAGTTCTCTCTTTCCCAGGACCCTGAAGGTCACATCCTTGTAAAGCCTTTTTTAATGTTTGTGTTTCAGTCTGTCTAAGAAGGAAACGAGCGTATGAGTGTGAAAGAGGTGTTGGCCCTGAGGTCAAGAAAGAGAAAGAAAGAGAGAGAGAAAGAGAGTGGGCCACTTTGGGAGGAGAAAGCAGGGATGGATTTAGGAAGGAAGTTAGGCAGCTCTTACGATAATGACCTGTGGTTTTTGGTCATCAGTGACACAGGTGTGCTCTGGTGTCATGAAGCCTCTAATCTATCCCCACCCTAATGAATGGAGACCTTAGGTTGTCCACAATGTTGGACATGTGGTCAATACAGTGCAACTTGCAGTAATATTTATTTGCAACTGATCCCCAGATGTTTTTTTTCATTCATGAAGTAAAATACAAATGTTATATATGAAAGTAACATTAGGAAAATATAAAAAATGGGTATGCAGAATTTGCAGAATTTGATGTAAATATGCCAAAACAATAAATTTCACTATGTGCAGTATGCTCTCAACATAATTACTTTTATTTTTTATTAGATTGGCAATAAAAAGTGGTTAAAAAACTAAATAATGTTAAAGTGAAAGCTTCTTTGCTCACTAATACACCTTAAATGTTATCATGCATTGAATATTATTGCCTTTTAAATATTATTGCATGCGTATAAACATTTATTGTGTGTGTTATTGCGTGTGTGTGAAGCTAATAACTGTCTGTTTATTAAAATGCGAACAGTTGCGGGTCATTTCTTGGAAACACTCCAAGTGGCGTTCAAGTCTGGGACTGTCCAGCGGTCTGGAGTGAGAGAGTGTGTGTGTGTGTACGCGCATACATGCATGTAGGCACAAACTTGTCTAGTTTTATAAAAAGTGTGTGTGTGTGTGTGTGTGTAGGTATTGGCGATGGAGGGGGGAGGAGTGCTGGTGGTGGTGGTGGTGGTTCCTTATCTACAGGCCACAGGCAGCTTTGAGGCCCTTATCAGCAGCAGCCACATTGTACAAGCACATCCTCTTGTCCAGTAGGGAGCGGAAAACTCTCCTTGCAACATGGTTTTCTCTCTCTCTCTCTCTCTTTCTCTCTCTCTCTCTCTCTCTCCCCTGCTCTCCTATCTCTCCCTTTCTCTCTCCCACCTCAAATTTGCCAGTACCAGAGGAGCTCCCTGACTGGCAACCGACTCGAGCATTGTGTTATTGGCGAAAAAGAGAGAGAGAGAGAGACCGCAGACAGACAGACAGACAGACAGGACAGTGACAGAGCGAGAGACAGGGAGACTTAAATGAGGACAGGGGACAGCAGAGACCTTTTCCATCCACCTCCACACTTTCTCTTCATATAAAGGATTAACTTTACAACTACTAACCATGACTTCATCACTTTGTGAATACTCTGGATCATCATTGTTGTATTTTCACTTCTAGCTTTCCATTTTAAAAGAGTTGGACACAGGTGTGAGGAGCCTTTGGAGTGCTGTCAGACTGTTTGGCTCCAGTTCTGATGTGAGAGACTGACAGAAAGACGCTGACAGAGGAGTGTGAGCGACCTGAGGAGGAGCGAGGAGAATAGGAGGAGGAGGTTAAACACTGAGGAGATACAACATGTGCTGCATTCACGGATCACTCTGATGGATTTTAACATCATGGACAGACGAGTCACCCTGAATGTATCTGTGAGTCAGCCTACATTTCTCCTTTTTTATTGTTAAATCCAGTTTAGCATTTTATAGCATTTGTCGTTAGCGTGCAAAGAAATAGCTCAATAAAAAAAGACTGAATGGAAATTTGTACATATGTCATGCACTTTATTAGTATCATGATTTAACTCCAGTTTAAAATTGTGTTTTTTTTACTTTTCTGTTGGTCAATAGATTGACTTATTCTTGACTCACTCCGGCCAGTTTATTAGGTGAACACTGATGCTGTAACTTTTCTGTGGAAAGCTGAATCATGCACACTAATCCTACTTCTAATTTATGCATTCGACTGGATCATTGTATCATACTGCAGCATAAATAATAATTAATTTAACAGAAAAATGAAAGAAAAACTAAATACAAATTCCATAATTTATCAGTTTATTTCAGCATTCGTTGCAGACTGTGGCGCTTTCTGCAGAAGGTTGCCGCTGTGCAGAAATAAGGAAGAACCAAAATGCAGTTTCATCTGCATTACGAGAAATAACATTTGCAGTCATGATGACTTTATCTCTTTAAGGTGTCAAAGTGGCATTGCATGTGATGTGTCCAGTTGCATTCAATCAAAATTCTCCAAACAGTGCTGAGTATTTGAGCAGAAAACCTTGTAAACATCACTCTAGCGCCTGTAAGAGTTCCTCTAATTAAGATTCAGTATTTAAATAAGAGTAAATATAACACTTCTGCAGAATTAGATTTTTTTTTAAGTCAGCTATTGTCGTCCACACTTTATTGTGAAAGAGGGAACTGTCTGAAGTAAAGTCATGATCACCAAAAAAAGACAAAACAGGAACAAGTGCAATTGCAAAACCTGAGAAATGCTGCGCTGGGCCCTGCAGAGCGGAGGATAACAAACGAACCAGAGTGAAACATCACTTCATGTCCAACATTTTAATAGCAGAGTGGAGCTGATGTAAGAGCTTCATCTGTTAGTTTCCATTATTCACTCAATGTCTTACAATGTAGGGACAATTACACAATATGGAGTACAAACTCCTGAATTGGGTAATATGAAAATGTGACCACCTCTGGGTTTAGTTGAATAAATATGTCGAGTGCTTTCATTCTTTTCTTTTGTTCAACAGACTCTTTGATATCAATCCAGTCTGCCGTGGTGTGGGACATTTTGAAAGCTGAAAAAGGATTTTGACTCATATCCTCGAAATACACACAGACAGATGGAAAGTCTCAATAAGGACGGCCACGGGGGACTTGTTCAAAACCTTGAGTCTGCTGCTCAGGATGTGCAGTGAGAAAAACCCACAACAAATCAGACTGCAACAACCCCCCAGATCCATACTGCAGCCAGTGATTACAATGCAACAAGCGGACAAGAACAATGTGATCCACTGGCACCAGCGTTGGAATTTATGACTGTGAATGATTATTTCAATACTGACCCTCGCGAAGAAAAGACCTGCTGAGGAAAACTTGAACTTTTGTCAGCAGGAAAACGGGACAAAAGAGGCGGACACGAATAGTTGAAGGTCCCCAGTGTGGAAAGAACATTAACACACTCATAGAGAAGGTTTGAAGATGTAAGTTCCCCGACATTATCACAACACTGGATATAGAAACACTGACAACTCAGAGCTGAGAGCAACAGGAGGAGTAACACAATGATGGAGAAGGTGAACCTCAGCTGCCCACCTTCCTCACCCCCCACCCTTCCTCGTTCCTCCTCCTCATCTCCTATCTCCTCCCCATCCTGTGCCTCCAGTCCTCTCCAGAACAAGACTTTAGCAGCTTTGGACACCACCACCACCACCAGCCCACATCCAGTGAACAACACACACAATGGACACGCAGATGTGCCCGCTGCTGCCACTGTCGGGGTGTTAGCCAATCAGCTTTTAAACACTTCTGCAGCTGCACCTGAGACCATTACCATGGAGAGTGAGGAGGAGGTGGATGAGGAGAGGCAAGAGGAACCCAGCAGCACCATGACGCCAGCTTCTGCGATCAGGTCCCCTACTCTCTCTTCCCCACCTCCCCTCCTCCCAGCTCCAGCCAAGACCTCTCAGTGCTCTCTGCCTGCTCCACCTTCCACCTCCTCCTCCTCCTTCTCTTCATCCTCTCCCCTCCCACCTCACATTCCAGTCATCAGCCTCGGTCACAGCAAACCGCCACTCCTGCTCCCAAATACCCCTCTGACTGCCCTCCATCCAATCCCCAACCTGCTGCACGGCGACCTCTGCCGCAATCAGTTAACCTACGTGCCCGTGTCCAGTCCTGGAACCTCTGGAGGTGGGAGTGGGGGCCATTTGGCTCACTCCCCGGGCCCCCTGATGCCTCAGCAGTACCTGCCCGCTCACTCTTTCTTCACCAGGTCAGATTGGACTTCTTTAAATTCACTTATCAGCGCTGCTCTTTGCTTTGAAACCTTGAACTTGTTGGGTGGTGGGTAAAGGGTATTCTTATGTTTGGCATTTTTTAAATTTTGGGGATCTGAAGAAAGAAGCTATAAATTATGCAAATAAGAAGTGTTAAAATCAGGAGACATTAATAATAATGATAAAAGGATAATGCATCAGATTTTGTAGCGCTTTATCAGAGACCCTCAAAGCGCTTTCCATTGGCTACATCATTCATTTGCTCACACAGTCACACCTTGGTGGTGGTAAACTACCTTAGTATTCACAGCTGCTCTGGGGCAGACTGATGGAAACATGGCTGCCACGGCCTCTCCGACCACCACCACACAACACTCACAATCATACCCCAAAGGAAGACACACACTGGGAGCAAGGTGGGTTAAGTGTCTTGCCCAAGGACAAAACAGACGGACTCAGGATAGGGGGGAATCGAACCGGCAACCTTCCAGTTATTGGACGACCGCTCCACCTCCTGAGCCACTGCCACCCAAAAATCAGAATTTTCGCCCTTCTTTTTTTAAATCATGGTTAGCATTGTGCATATCCCCTCTTTCCATGATCTGTTTTAAGCTTTGGAAGAATAACATCAACAGATGGTAGCGACAGTGATCTCTAATATCTAAATGTATTCGACAGCCCCTCTTCTTAATGGTCTATTTCTGGACCAGCTAAACACTTTTCATAAAATTATTTTAGGTTGAATCCCTGAAAAAATTCCACAAAACATTTTCTCTTGACTGAAAATCATTATTATCTTGCATATCAAGTATAAGACAACAAATGACTGGTTTGTTTTTCCCACCTTTTGCAACAGTCTTTTTGCACAGGTGTGGAGCACTTCACCCCAAAAACACTCTTCTCACTATACTGGTAATAACGCTGCAGCCTCGTTGGTAACGATGGCAAGTTTCATAGGAAACCTCAACTGTCAGGATTTCATGACTTCCCTGTGTGATTCATCCTGCCTGTGCTGCACAGTTATAAGAAAACTGACAGCAGGATGTGTGCTGTTATTAAGGAGACTTCACTTTTTCTCACCATGAATTTCCTAATCAGGGTATTCGGTTGCAATATGGGAGGTGCATTATGGGTTCTTTTTTGAGTGGGTTCAGTGCCAAAAACTTGAGGGAATCTCTTTTTGAACCACGCACGCAGGTTTAACGACAGCTAAATGTAGTAGCTTTATAAACACGGCCAACAAAAAGGAGCTCTTAAAGCTGTTTTTGGGCACGTAAAGTTGGCACCTCATAAACTTGTGAGGAAAGGCGTCTTTTCCTGAAGAATAAAAGACCTCCCACTGTTCATCTATTCTCTCTTCTAAAAAATGATCTTCCACACGGTTTCTATGTGGAGCAGATGAGGATGGGCTTTGTACAAAGTAGGACTACATCTATGGTTTTACCATCTGTCATGGAGGTCTGGGAATAAGACCCCCCCCACACACACACACATACACACATACACACACTATTTTCTGGTCTGTTGGTGGAGGGATGCATTGATCTATTGATCATCCACCTAAAGCAGAACAAGCTCATAACTAGACTTAAAGAGTCCAGAGTCAAAATCTGCATGCACACTCAATTACTGCTACCAACATGATCACACCGCAGTTAACGGCCTCCACCATCCTCTTGATTTCTCTGCTCAGATGCTGGAATGAACATCCGAGTTTCTAAAGGGGATTTTTCCTCTGTTGATTGTGAATGCAGCCATAAAAAAAAAAAAAAAACGTTAATTTTGTGCTGTTTTTATCTCCAGTTCTTACCTGGGAACTTCAGCAAGAAACTATGGCGTCATCAACAACAGCCGGATCAAGAGAAGACCTTCCTCACACTTTGAGATGGACACTGGTGAATGTGAGTTCCTGTGTTAAAAATACAGAATCAGACATGATCAATATTTTAATTATAGTTACATATTTTAAAAATTTTCTCTACAGCATTTAAAATACATGTTAGTACTATAGAACAGGAGTGATAATATTCTGTATTATCTTTTTGACCAACAAGTTGATCTCTCTTACTCTGTGACTTTCTTTGAATGTCTTAAACTTTCAGCTCAATAAGGTTTATATTTCAAAGAACAGAGAAGCTGGAAAAAAAAAAACATTCATGCAAAATTAGATAATAATTCAAAAGCGAAATAAACCTCAAAAAAGTGTCCTCTAGAAATAACTGTTTGTTGCCCAGCCTTCACACAATGTTTAATCAGTAATGGTTCATCACCCATACTCCACCTGTCACATACTCATAATGGAAACCGTAGTTTTTTCTAATTATTACTCAAACAGAAACGGGTTTTAGGGAGTGGGAGGTGGTGTTGTATTGATACACATTTGTTAAACTACTGCTCATTAACTGCCTCATTAAGTACGAAAGAGGATTAGGGCCACAAGAAGAGGAAAAAATATAGGAGGGAGATGTTTTCATTTCCATTTCGAGATTTAAATTGAAAATTCAAGATTAAAGTAAAATTTTAAAAAGTCAAAATTTCAATTCTTTCATTGTCTCAAAATTTCGACTTTATTGACATAATTTTGATTTTTTTAATCCCAAATTTTCGACCTCAATCTAGAATTTTCAATTTTACTTTCCTACTGTAACTATTTTTTTCCTCTTCATGTGGCCCTAATCCTCTTTCTTACATTAAGGCATAAGTCTATACAAACAGCCCATAATCACTGTCATAATAAAACGTACCGGACCAATGGTGTTGATGTCTCTTTATTTGGTCAGTACGCTGTAACCTACAAGGGTCACGATGAGGGTCTTTGATGGGATTTGCACAGTGAGATGACTTTACATCATCTTATTTTATTTCTTACTTAAGTACTCATTCATGTGTCTCTTCCAGGCCCTCCTCAGAAACTCGCCCGCCGTGTGTTTACTAATAGCCGTGAGCGCTGGCGGCAGCAGAATGTGAACGGGGCTTTCTCTGAACTAAGAAAACTCATCCCCACACACCCACCAGACAAAAAGCTCAGCAAGAATGAAATCCTGCGTCTGGCTGTCAAGTACATCAACTTCTTGGTCACTCTGCTCAACGACCAGGCTCAGGACAAGAACAAAGACTTGACTGAGGATGAGGAGAAGGAAGAAATGACTACAGCTGGATCAGGCAATAATAAGCAGAACCCTCTTTTTCAGTGTGACACTCCTCCACCTCCGCCTCCTCCACCACCACCACCATCCTCCATCCATCCTACCTCATCTACAGTCCACAGAGACAGAGACTCCACGGATTCAGTCATCACTTTGGCTAACTCCCCAGCTACATCCAGTTGCTATGGTGATACAGACAGCGAGGACAGCTATAGGGAGAAGACCTCTCTGGTCACAAACGGCATTCTGGGAAAGGTCAAAGGGCAGATGAGGACAGTGGCAGCCACGAATGACGAGCGGTGACGCCAAAAGACAGGAGCTTAAAGGTCACACAGACAGCAAAGACATGACGACACCCGAACGCTGGCAGATGACAACAGAGTTTATGAGGCCGCGTGGTTTTCTCACAGTGCATGGAGACGGGTTTTTAACAATACTTTGTAGTTTCAGCTGTCTCTCTGTTATCTTAAGTGATTTGCAGACATTTAATGTGAGGCTCGGTGTAAAAAGGGGAATACTGGAATGTGCAGTGGAACAAACAGAAAGCTGTGAAACTCATTAGTTTTTAAAATCCAAATAAAGTCGAAGCATTCTTTGAAAGTTTGCACACCTCCGTGTCTCGATGATCAATTATGAGGAAAAATCACTCAAAATAGAGTCTCAGACAAGGTGACAATAACCACTCAAATGTTGTTTTCTATTTGTTAAAAAAAGATGTCCATCTTTGTCAAGATATTGATGATCTTAGGTTTCCCATCTGCACACAAAAACCTTCACGTTCAGATCAAAATGTACATAGTAATGAAAACTCTGCAAAAAATCTCTGCCATGCGTTGAATTCAAGTGTCATTTTCTAATGTTCCTGCTGTTCAGAGAAACAGTGTTGCCCTGACATTGTGACACACATGAACAAGACAGAAATAAAGTGTGTTTTAGTTTGCTGTTCCTTATTTGACATCCTCTTCTTGGGCTCCAAAAACAACTCTGCATCAGCACAATTTCTCAACAGGTTCTAAATGTTTTGCCAAGTTTGTCAAATGTTTGGGGAACGTTTTGTGCATCCTCAAGTTGTAGAGATTCTTCAGTGGGTTGCTGAAATGCTTTTGAGAAATGGTTCTGAAAGGACCATCTGATATTCAGTTATCTCAATATAAAGACAGGTTTCTGAAATACTAGTAACTTCTCACCAAACATCAGACAGCTGGAGACACAGGCAAACTTTCCATTTGATCATTTGTGCTGCTCACCAAAATGAGGAATTAATGATAATATTTTTAGTAAAGGGGGTGTAGATAAAAGCACCAAAATGTGAAAAGAAAAAGAAGTGATATGACATCTGCTAACTTCAATTGTTGTGTGACATTATTGTGAGGACCCCAGCCACAAGGAAAAAACATTTTGCGCAGTAAAAACAAAGAAATACTAAAAATGCAATTAACCTGTTTTAGTGGTGGGAGGAGGAGGACAGTAGATGCAATAATGATATCAAAGTAAAATCATGCATGCTTGCAGAGTTAATGCTGCCACATGCACAATGCTGCAACACACAGCAGCTCTGAATCGGGTGTTGCAACATCCGCTGAATCCTTACGGCCACTGTGGAAAGCAGCATAAAAAGAAAATACCCCAGTAAGCTACAAGTTCACTAAACCATGCTTTATGTTTCTGTGAAAACCATAAATGTATATCTATGTGGAACTACCGTAAGATTTATGCAACTGCAACATGTGTGGTAGGTGTGTGGTTATGTGTCAGGAAGGTCAGGGTGGATGTGGGAAGCAGTGAAAGACATGGTTTGGGTGGGGTTAGTGAGATGTTGGGGCGAGCTGCAGCTGTGCAGCGGTGCTGCTGCTGCCTCTCTGGTTGTGTCTTTGGCTCTAAGTCAAGTGTCCAGGAAACGCCAACAGTTGGTGCTGTCTCATTGACGGCCAACGAGTTTCCTGCAGAAAAGGGGAGGGGGGGTTAAGGTGTGCGAGAGTTTATGTGTGTTCAGATCTGCAGGGTGGCAACTGCTGCATGGACGAAAGGGAGGGAGGGGGAGACTAGAGAGAGAGTACGGCCCCCAGGATGCATGAGGAACCCCCCGTGTACTTGGTTTAGGGACCACACAACAGGAAGGGCTGCTTTCACAATGCTGCTCCTCTGGCTCCCTGTGCCAGCTCCGCTCTGTTGGGCTGTTCTGCCCCCCGCGTTACTCTAAAACCACAGAGAGGATTACAGAACGAGGAAGGGGTTACACAAATTAAAGGGGGACCCCTGTTATCTAAAAGTGTTTCAAATCTATTTATTTGCAGTAACAGGTTTGTTGCTTGCTGAGAATAAATGAACAACACTTACAATTAATAAATTACGTTTTTGTACTGCACACTCTTATAAATGGTTGCCTGTTGACAAGGTAATTAGTTGATAGATGAACCAATAAACAACATTTCTACAGCAGACATACAGCTTGTCAAAGCAGGAAAATTACAGGTGTGATCATAATAACTGCATTCCATTTAGTTTAGCTAGCTGTCGGGTCCTGGTTTTGTAGGCACACTACAAAATTGTTTTTTCCTTGTCATTGAGATCTGTTTTAACTGTTTCTACTCCAAACCCCCTCATTATTTCAGGCTGCTGTTTGATCCTTGATATTACACAGGATTGACAATATTTTGATTTATGTTCAAAAGATTTCCTTATATAACCACAGATCAACCTTTTAGCCTATGAAACCCGTTTTTAACTTGACTCTACCGCTTAAATACCAACATACTCATTTGTAAAAATCTTAAAGGTTTTCACATTGTTTTTTAACATGCTGTTATCCTAGAAATATTATGAAACAGATTTTTCTAGAGCCATGGAAATGACACCTTTTCATGCTGCTTGTGACCGCCCAGGGTGTCACCCTCGGAGGAGGCCAAGACGGGTGATGCCGGCCAGCCTGGGACTCAGAGATAATGTCCTCATCTCTGCCCCTCTGCTGTGCCCCTTATGCCCTCACAGCCAGAAACACGTGCACTCATGAACACCAGCGGCTATTTTTTTCATCAGTCATGTAAAGAATAAAGCTGAATGTCTCATAAGAGGAGTGGACATACTTAAAGCCCACTGAGCATTTTTTGGTCTAAAAGAGGTCTAATAGACGTCTAAATGTAGCCTGGACGACTGGTCTAAAATCAGGCCACCACAGGTCTAAAAATGAAAGGTTTTTTTAGACGTCTAAATTTAGACCAAGTTTATCATAATTATTTTGGTTAAGTACTTGGAGATCAGTTATGCAACTCACAGTTGCTTTTTGAAATAAATAGTTATCAAATAATGGGTTAAAGTGCAATGTCTAAATTGCATCTAAAAATATACAGAATCTAGAAGGTTGAAATTAGGTCTAAAAAAAATTAGACGTCCAATAGCCGTATATTGTTCAGTGGGAGGTTCTTGGTTTAAAGGAGCTTCATCTTGCTGATAATAACACATAGAGGTGACTCAAGGTAACGCAGCGCTTTCACGATAGAGGACTTCAACAAACTCAGTCAAACTGCTCAACTTTCAAAATGCCCTTGTTAGAATTCATTTGTTTTTGGTTTCTGGATGTTATTTTGTGTTTTTCATTTTCTTTCAAAAGCATTTTAACGTGTTTGTCCTTTACAGAGTGTTAGTTTACACCTTAGGTTTCTCTACAATTAGGTCCACCACATTATACCAATTAGAAATGTGTCACAAGAAAACTTACAACACAATACTTTTGAGGATTAATTTTTTTATTCAGCATTAGATCCAAGTTACAGTTTAAGTTATATACAGTTATACAAACTTACGCACAGGTTTGTTGCTAAATTGCCGACAGTAAGAGATGTTCTGTTAGTCATGTTGGGTTTAAATTTGGCAGAAATATTAGATTGCAGAGTTTGTAACATTGAATATATGAGAAAAGAACATAGAAACATGTTGTTGAAAATTACACCTATCCTTATTCTTTAACTGTCTGAACTGTTCCTGCAATGATTTTCATCTAAACAAGGAAATCAAACCCTTTTCTTTGCATTTGAGTCGCAGAAAGAAAAAAAAAGATCAAAGAGTATCTGGGTTTTTTAAGGACATTGATTGATCAAAGTAAGATGTTTTTTACTTTCAAACAAAGTTTTTACTTTTTTTTTCTTTTATTCACATTCATCCAGTTACTCCGTTTTGAGGACTTTCCCTCCTTGTTTGACGAGGGAGTCCACGTTATCGTTTACCGATCTCTCCAGAGTTTTAGCAGCTCCGTCCACCTTTAACGGATCTTTCTTGCTGAATTTTCGTCGGCCAACCTCACTTACTGCAGACCCCGCTGCTGCCCCGACAGCTCCGCCTACCGCCCCCGCTAACAACACACCGAGCACCAGGCCCAGAAGGGCACCAGCTATGACCACCTTGGGTACCTGTTTAGCTTTGCCCCCTATCCTCTCCCACACTGAGCTATCAGCTACCATTTTGACCCCTGCTTTGGCCCCAGAGCCGACCTGCCCCCACACCGGACTCTGAGCCACCTTCTTCGCACCCGCACCAAGCCCGGCTCCGACACGCATGGAGCCATCAGCCATCAGTTTCGCTCCACTCTTGGCACCAGAACCTACTTTTCCCCACATGGGGCTCTTTGCTAAATTCTTTGCCCCAGACCCGATCCCAGCCCCAACACGCCTGGAGCGTTCTGCCACCAGTTTGGCCCCTGATCCAACCTTTCCCCACACTGGACTTGCTGCAGCTGCCTTGGCTCCAGATCCCACCCAAGCAGAACTGTCCACCACTACTTTGGGAACCCTATCTCCCACCATTTTGGACATATGTCCTGCACCTGCACCCACTTTTTTCCACACAGTACTATCAACAACCATCTTCTGAGCGCTCTGTGCTCCGCTGCCCACTGTCCCCCACACAGGACTGCTGCTCACCTTCTTTGCACCCTCACCTACCAACACAGAACCATCTGACAGCAGCTTGGGCAAAGACTTTGCAATAGACCTCACTCTCTCTGAAATGGAGCTGAGGTATGAGGGGGACACACTGGAAAGCACAACAGGAGGAAGACTCTTGATATTCATGGTGCTTACACTCATCTCCGCCTCATCCCTTGTTTTCTCAATCTCGTCCTCTCTCACTTCCTCTTCTGCCTCGGCCACAGGCTGCATGTAGGAATAGAGGACCCGCCTTTCGGAGTTGAGCTGTCTTTCTTCCTCCAATCTTTTTCTCTTTCTCTCCCTCGCTATCTCCTCCTGTCTCTGCCTCACTCGGTTCTCAGCCTCCTGAAAAGCAGGACAGGAGTAACACTGTCCTCCAGCTTCGTTTACTGTCTGCTCCACCTTCTCCAGGAGCTCTGCCACATTTCTCCTCTCCCTCCCAGCTCCTTTTGTCTCCATCACATGAAATCTGTCTCCACATTTCTCCACCAGCTTTAACAAATCCTCCCGCTGACTGGCAATGTAAGCCTCTGTACTGGCGTTTCCTGCCACTCCACTCTGCCTCAGTCGATCCGCGTAAGTAAAAAGAACCAGAGTGTGTTTCTGAACCGCCTCGGGGCCAAAAACAGATTCAAGGGTCGCGAGAGCCTGTAGCTCTAGCTTTGCAGGCTGGTCTACGGGGACACACAGCAGGAAGGCGTGAGGGCCGGGACTGGACAAAGCAACGCAGGAGGAGATCTGAGCTCGCACCTCATCTGGGCTTTGCTCTGTATTGAACCAGTCTGGGGTGTCCACCACTGCCACCTGCAGGCAAGAGAGAGGACATGTAACACTTTAAAGGGTTGATTATTGAGACATGAGCTAAATTGAACATTACATGAGGTTTTTAAATGTGTCAGGAAATGACAACATGCACACAAACATCTTAAAACTTACTCGTCTTCCTTCTGCCAAAGCTCTTCTCTTCTCACACTCTCGAGTAATCGCAGTGGAGCCAATAGGAAGAGACGCAAACTCCTCTCTCCCGAGTATGTTATTACCAGCTGCACTCTTTCCTGAACCGGACCGCCCTAGCATCACCAGACGCAGCTCCTGAGACAACGACGAGGACAAAGGGAATGAGGATGAGGTGGAAGTGAAGACCGGGGAGGAGGAGGTCGAGGTGAAGACGGGAGAATGAGGAGAGGAGGTTGGAGACAGCTCAGAGGACCCCCCTTCAAAGCTGTTGAGTCTGTGGTGCACTGAAAAAAGACCCAGAGAAAGTTCATTTATCAAAGTTATAGTTTGAAAATGAAAAGTACTGTCAAATATTATCTTTAAAACACAGAAGAGAGCGACATATCTGACTTACAGGTAGTGACCAGTTTTGGAGATGTGTTGGGCTCAGACATTTGTGAGAGTAAAGCCCCGTCTACGGAGAAGAAACTGTAAATATGGTGCAAACACACTTTTCCGCTCACATTTGTATTTTTTTTTTTCTTTTTCAACAAAACACTGGGCTGCAGAGAAACTTACAGCACAACAGTACCTGCATTGAGTTTGTAGCTTGACGTCCTCATCAGCTCCCTGTCGTTAAATGACTCTGAGAACGTCTGCCGCTCAGCTGAATGAAGCCCGTTTGACACTTCCCTCATGCTCACTCTTCCATCCATCTCCTCCAACTCTTCTCTCCTCCTTCTCTCCAAGTAGGCGCTGTACTCCTCTCCTCTTTCTATACTCCTTCGTGTGGTTGTGTTTGAGCTGTGCTTGTACGCAGCAGTCTGGATTTCTTCCTCCTTCTGAGCTCTGAAACTTTCCATGAGTTCTTGCTTTCTCTCATTCACCTGTTTCTCCAGCTCTATCTCCTGGGGTGACTTCATGTGGAAAATCCCTTTATTGTGCACCATGTTTTCCACCTGAAACAAATACATTCAAACTTAACAGACCAGAACCAAAAGTCAAAATATAAATAGCAAAATGATTAATAATCAAACTGATCCATACTCTTCCTGGGTGTGATTGTGAAACAGGGCGTCGCTGGGAAAACTCAAACATGTGTGCTCAGCAGTCTTCTTAGTCGAAGCAATTAAAACAAAGATCTTAAGGACTGGCTGCTTGTTAGCTCTGTATCAGTTTTCTCACCTTCTCCAATAGCTCTTGGACCTGCTGACCGTCCTGTCGCTGACGATTATTGATCACATGGTACCTTCCCCCACATTTCTCAATCATCTGCCTCAGGCCTGGGTGTTCTTTCTTGAGGTAATCCTGCAGAAAACAAATCACATTTTATGACTGTTGCTAATCGTCCTGCTCTAACAAGCCGCAGCTGATCAAACCGGGTGATAAATGAAGGTTAGTTTCACTTTTCAGTCGTATGCAAATCTCACAGCTCAGACTCACTTCGATTAAATGTGTCATGACCTGATTCTTATGTGTCCTTCAATATTTTCTCGCTGACAAAAATGGCGCGTAAAGTATCGCATTTGTAGAGAAAGTGAGAAGAGGATTTCCATTGTGGATCTTTGCATCATCAACACCGCAGAGAGTGAGTGAACAGCTTTAATACCTCCACTGATTTCCCCATCAGGTAGTCCCCACAGGTCAGCAGGACTAAAGTGTGATCCAGCGCCCCTTTATCAAACAGTTCCTCCAGCTCTGCAGGTACACGACCATCCATCTTTGAACACAAGTGGAAGAAAAGAAGAAAATTATCATACACATTAAAAGTTTATTTTATTTCCTCAATTTGCTCCCAATTTTCATCATCAATAAAAATATTAGTTTTATTCAAACATGAAGAATAAGAAAAACTCACCTCTGTGAACTGGCTTACAGGCACAAGCAGCAGAATCGCATGAGGACCTGGTGCCAATAGCGTCATAGCTCTCTCCGTCTCCTTCCTGACACTGTCCTCCATTTTACCACCTGTCCAGTACCACCGCGGAGCCTCCACAAGGGTCAGGCTCCTGCCTTCAAAGACCCCTTGTCTCAGCTGGCAGCTCCTGGAAGCATCGGGAAGAGAGGGAGCCGTCTCACCTAGGAGGGTGTTTGCTGAAGAGCTCTTTCCACATCCAATGTTTCCCAGGAGAAGAAGTCTAAGCTCCTGGGGTGAAGAGCTAAAGTAGCCCCTTCTTAAGTTTTCACTCATAGCTGCAAAGAGGAAAAGAATGGATGAAATATTAAAAGGTAAAGCTACACTGATTGATTTAAAACATAAAGTGTGTTTCAGATTGCAGGAGAACAAGTTATGTCATATAGTTTCAGTCAATAACACGTCTTGCAAAAAAATTAATAAAAAAATAACTGTGCTCTTTTATCAAGCAAGCTTTCCTCTTTTCTACCTGCATCCCTCTTTTCCTAGTGTGCTTTAAAACACCACACCTTGCCAGTCCTGTCCAACTACATTCTACCTGGACTTTTATATTTGGACTGAAAAGCAAACATACTCACAACAAATCAATCTAAAAATACGTACAAAGACTGGACATATGACAAAAAATATTCACCATGACAACGTACAATAGAGCAGCACTTTATATAAACCAAACACACTGAGTATAACGTAAATTACCCATGTAAATAACGCACACTTGTTTTGTCTATTTTGCCCAACAACTTTCTGTCTTAATCCTCTCGTAGCTGGTGTAAAACATTATGGTGTTCATGGCATGCCTATTGTAACCAAACAGAAATACACTTTAGGGATGCTATCCATAATTATGACAAGCAGCAGTCAAACTAATGAGAACAGTCGGGTCCCTCGAGTGCAAACCTCCATTAAGTAGAAATAAGATTTAACATCGAAACTTACCTGTTGAAGGTCTCAGACGCTGCGTTCATGTAACGTCGACTGCGTGCTCAGTTTGTTCCGTTGGCACCGGATTGTGTGTCTCACCCAGACAACTTCAGAACATGTCAACTCCCATTTGACAAAGATAAAGGCAGCCTACGCAGACGTGGATCGCAGTCTCACTGAGCTACCTGTCTCACCACTCCCGCTTTAGATCACATGCGCATATAAACATTGTTTTACATATTTTTTTTGCATGCACAACAGGTTTCTTTGTGCGCAGTCTGCTAAACATTCCAAGTTGGGGCGGAGGAGGAGTATCCTGGGGCATGAGTGAATCATCCAACCTGAAGTTTTATCAGCCACACCCAAGAGATGTCAAAACTCATGGATGGCTGTCAAATGAGACATCTACCAGGGTTATCGCTGTTAAGGTGTTGGGGTTAATAACTGCTCAAATATGCATGTAAATATTTTCTTATGCTGCAGTTATCCTCCCTAATCGGCACAGACTGCATGTCCCAGACAGTAATGACAAGTTTATAACGTTAGCCAAATCAAAACTGGAACTTAAGAGTGCTTGTGTTGACTCATATAATCTGGCATTCACAGAAGAGTTTATGAAACCATGAAGCAATGAGCTACAGTTCTTTAAGAGTCCTTGACTTGCTACACGTAATTTTCCTTTAAAAATCCTTTAAATGAGTGACAGACGTTAAGTAATAGACCTCATTTTATATAATTGTCTTAAAATAACAGATGTGAGTAATGCTAACTTCAGTTTGTTGATAGCTTATATAACTCTCAAGTGACTCTATAAGCTTATTCTTTTGTTTTACACAATCTCACAGGCTGTGTAAAATATAGATTTTTGGGCACATACAGTATATTCATTAATTTGCTCAAATTCATGCACTCTTTCTTAGATAGTTTATAAACCAGATGAAACTTGTAAAAAACTAACTCATGCATGACTCGTGTCTTTAAGGATAATGTTACCAACCTGACTTTATTGCATTTTAGCAAAAAGTTTTCACAGAAATCAGTCAGTAGCTTCTTTGACTCTGAGTTAAATCCTATCAAATATTTCCCCAGAGATGTCCGGCACATAGGTACAACAAGAGACTACCTATAAATCTATGTGATGTCCCACAGAGGAGGTATCTTGTCTTTATCCTTAAATTGATAAATCATTCAATCTTGAGTTCAACATCTTTAAACTGAACCATCAAACAATACACTGCCTTGGTAAACTCAAGGTCTTTGTGATAAAATTAAAGCAGTTTTTCTGGTGCATGTGAATCATTTTGAACAAAAAAGTGCAGAATTTTTATATGAAACCTAAAATAAATCTTCCTCCTCTGTATCGAAGTACTGGGAATTGCCAGTAGGGTTACTTCTTTATCATCACTCACAGCCCAGGCATCAAATAGTTTATGTTTTCCAGAGTGGAGGCCTTGGGGGGAAAAAATGAACCAGGCTGTAACAAAAAACTATTTGCAAAAAACTATTTGACTTTGTGGATGTGGCTTCATCTCTCACCAGTGTGTGCTGTGTGCAGTTCCTTAGCTCAGGTATCTGTAGGGTGAGGGAGATCAGAGGAACCAGAGCACAAAGCAGAGAGTCCAAGAGCAGAGAAAAGCTGCCAGGTATACTCACTGTTTTCTGCAGACACACACACACAAAAGAGAGATTCACCCTTAAATCTTTAAGCCTGTGGTCTGATCACTGGGACCACATTTGTGTTGAATTTTAGATTTAGCGCTAAGTATGATCCAGGCCAAACTTCTTTAAAAGATATTTAGCTGGAATTGTTTTTAAGATGTGCCTATAATTTCCTAAAACTAAAACTAAAAAAATCTACCCACATGTGTCTCCTGAAGATGTTGTCCAATGAGGGACAAAGACTCTCCCAACAGGTGCAAGTGAGCTGCAGCCCTGACAGGATCCTGATCTGAGCTTCCAGGACTCAAGGATGTGGACTTGAGGGTGTCCCAGGCTAAAGCGGTGGGACTGCACATAGAAGTTATGGGACTATAGGTATCATCCACAGGGCTGGAAAGCATAGGATAGAGAACAGATCCTTGCACGGGTTGGACTGCACAAGGCCTGTGGGTTACTGGAGTTACAGGAAGGCTTGTAGTCCTGGTAAACGGACAGTCTGCCATGTTGTGCTGACTATCTAAACACACCCAGTATTCCAATACGGAGCTTTGAATTTCCTACGACAGACAGAGACAGACATATACTTGAGATAATTACTTATACTGTAAGATAAAAGTTGTGGAAAGACACCAAGGATAATTACCTGATCAATGCTGCCCTCTGCTGGGTCACTTACATACAACAACTTGTCCTGCATATCCAAGAATAGGCGTGCCTTTACAATATAATGGGTACAAATAAACTTAATGTGTTGGAATAAAATCTGTCTGATCAGATTATCATCTGTTTTCTTACTTCTTCTCCTCCTCTTATCCCCCATCTGTTCTGTGAAGCACACACTGGGGCAGCAGGGAGGATGCCAGAGGAATCAGGCTCATGAAGTTCAGCCTCATCTCCACTACCTGAGAGGTTTCATGTATTGATAGTAAACAAGACACCTTATCTTACTTCTATTGTGACTTTACAAAGCTTTATATCTGTGACTGAGATAGATGAAATAACAGCCACTTTAAATTTATGAGAGTTTAATAACCTGCTGAACTGATTATCGCATATTTACATAAAAATCCCCTTACCAGAGTGTTCCCTTCTCCCACTCAGCAAGTTGTTTGGTTCCTGAAAGAATGGCAGATGGTAAGCAGTCACTGAGAAATCACAACATCCTATAGGGGAGAGTGGGGTAAGTTGAGCCAAAGGGTAAGTTAAGCCACCCCTTGTTGCTTGGAAATGGTAAAAGAAATTGATCATGTGACCAAATATTTAGGAGATGGACATCAATTCATGGAGTCTGTGAAGGTTAGAAGCACATGGGTGAAGGGGTTAGACATTTATTTACAAAAAACATTTTTCTCTCTTGAAAGTGAATTCAGTCTCTAAAGTTTGATTATAATTGTGTTCAGACCAAAAAAGATCATTTTAAATTTGTTTTATACATCAATTTTGGTATCTATGAGCGACAACATGAGGTCAAAAACCGAGGATAAAACTTACCCTGCTCCTAGGTTTAACTTACCCCATACACCGTGTAAGTTAAATATAGGAGACCACTTTTTTTGCAAGCTATATTATTAAGACAGTTCCGTTTACACTCATACTGTTGGTTTGCAGGGATGCACAACACTCTGAAATTTATGCAGATACACTAGTGAGAGAGAAAACTATGATTGTGTTGATGTAGTGATCTGAAATATGAAAAATGGCTCATCTTACCCCACTCTCCCCTACATGGGAAAACTCCCTGCATACATATATAACTTTTTCACAAATAAGAACATACAACGGGTTTTACTGTAAACATTTAGGAAATCATTTACTAGTGTATTGCATAAGCTGTCATTTTCACTTCGTTCAAGACACTCTGTGCCAAACTGTATAATCTGAACCTTTTCATTTTCACGTTTACTGCCATAAACTGAAAAACATTGACACATAGTGCAACAGAGCCAAATAGTTCAAAGTTCAATTATATGCATACACTCAACACAGTATAGATTATGCAAAGTGACCATATCACAAATATCACCAACTTTTCTCATTCTTGTGATGATGGCAGTTCATATCAAGAAATAGAGAATAAATCAGTTTTCAACCAAGGCATTAACATCCTCTTTTACTTACTGTGTAAATTTAGAAAACATTAACAATTCAGTTTAAAGAATTGTGCCCTGTTTGACCATGTCACAACAAAAGAAACGTTAGATAACAAGGTATGGTTCGTTGTAAAGCTGTTAGGGTTGCATTAAATTCCCCAGGTGTTTATTATTTTAATAGCGGATTAGTGTAAACTAGCCCGTGGTATCCTGGCTAATGTAGAGCTAACGTTAGCACAGGTAAATCGTTTTTGCTAACTTCTCAAACAGAAAGGTACTTAAACGTTTAAGAAACCAAGCTAGCAGACAGCCAGGCTTCGGCCTCGATGTATATTATCTACTTCAACACATTCACCGTTATTTTCATCAGTTTAGTCTGATATTAGGCTCTCCATAGTCTGCTACATTACATGATACAGCTAACAGACGTTAACGGTTAGCATACTAACGGTCAAAGCTCACGGTAATTTTAGGCCACAGCTGACTTTGTTGACCAAGCAAATATAACTTGTGTTGCTTACTGCAGTGAAAAAAGCCTCGGCTGAACTCATTGAGCCAACTCCACGTCGCTCACATGTCTGAACTGTGTCAAGGGGAAGCTGCCGAGTCACGTTTAGCTGCAGTTTGTGCTGAGTCATGTTAGCCTGGAGTGAAAGTACACTGATTTTAATGGGTAACCAATTAACTGTTATGCCATGCTACGTACGGCTGGACGAGCAAATGTGCTTATGCGTCTGTTTTTACTGTCTCCACAGGACATGATTGATTTGTGCATTTCTGTGACAGCTTGAGAAAACGGTACAATAGGTACAATACTTAAATTTTGAAAAAGGAAGCTACAACTATTTTAATGTGGGCTTCTGTGTTACAAAAAAATCCAACGTTCAATTAATTAATTAATTCATTCATTCATTCGTTTGTAGAAATGTCCAGATTAAATTGTTACATTCATTTAGCCTATGCAATGACCTTTTATCATACAGCATGACCCATTTCAAAAAGCATTCTGTGTTATTAAGTAAAATTGGAATAATACATTTTTGAATCAGCATTAGGGGAGAGTGGGGTAAGTTGAGCCACCACCTGTTGCTTGGAAATGGTAAAAGAAACTGATCGTGTGACCAAATATTTAGGAGATGGGCATCAATTCATGGAGTCTGTGAAGGTTAGAAGCACATTGGCGAGGGGGTTAGACATTTATTTAAAAAAAAACATTTTTCACTCTTGAAAGTGAATTTAGTCTGTCATAAGTTTGATTAGAATTCTGTTTAGACCAAAAAAGATCATTTAAATTTGTTTTATACACCAATTGTGGTATCTATGAGCTACAACATGAGGTCAAAAACCGAGCATAAAAGTCCACCATGCACAACATCTTGAAATATTTGCAGATACACTAGTTAGACACAAAAGTATGATTCCCTTGATGTAGTGATCCGAAAAATGAAAAAAGGCTCATCTCACCCCACTCTCTCCTACTCAGTTTTTTTTTCTCTCTCTCCATTTAAGTTTGCAAATAAATGTATGAGGATAACACTAGAAATATTTGCCTCTTAGTTTGTACAGTGACATAAAATGAACATTATAGTCTAAACAAATAGCCTATCTTAACTTTTTGTTCAAGCACATATCTTGAATAAGTCTTACTTTAGAAATTAGCCACTGCTTTTGTATGTCCTGGTATATAAATTGGTGCATGTGTCTCCTCTTGTGCCTACAGGTGGCAGTGGTGGGCATCCCAGACTGTGTGGGGAAGAGAAAGAGGAAGTGCAGGACGTGTGTAAAATGTTAGGAAATAGAAGGCCCAAGGTAGTGGTTGTTGGCTTTTCATGGGTGAAAAAGACAGCAGCATCAAGTCTAGCTTCAAATGAGTAGGAGGTTGACTTGGTGCCTGTGCCATTAGGAGGATTAGGCAACATTGAACAACAAAGATGCATTAGGAAATGCAAATGAAGTTAACCACAGTGTGGGCTCCAGTTGAATGAAACCAATTCAGAAGTTTGAAGGTTTGAAACTTCTTAATACTCAGCGACACTTTTTTCTTTACATTGGTAGCCATACATTTTTGCCTGAAGATTTTGTAGATTTCAAATGACCTGATAAATTACAGCTGCTTGTGAGGGTGAGTCTGAGGGCATGAGAGGCACTGCAGAAGTAGAAAGACAAGGACATTATCTGTAGGTCACAGGCTGGCCAGCATCACCCTGCACGACCCCCTGTTTTCCAAGAAGTCGAGGAAGTTTACACCCCGGCTGTCCAAAACAACTTTTAAATGTTTATGTTTTTCCTGAGCTTGATTGTGTTTTATTGCAGTACTTACTCTGGTAAGCCCCGCATATCTAAAAACATGAACACTGGCACCAAAACAGTCTGTTGCGCTGACTGGAGCGAGCAGCTGTATCAAAGTAAAACCTTTAATGCTATGTTTATTACCTTCTATTCAACCTGATCCACACTAGCCTTGATAGTTTTTATTTTCAATAATATTAAAAAAGCAACTATGTTGGGATCACAACGATGTAAGAAGGGTATTGCATGAAAATGAAAAAAGATCTGCAGTTATTGACGGTTGTTAAATCATCATAGAAGTTAACTTTACTGGGTTTTAGAAACATAGTCAGCTGGTTTACAGTCCAGCGACCAACTTCACCTTTTAGATTATTCTCACCATTCTCATGCGGTTGTTTTTGCCATTACAAACCTCCAAGAATTAGCTTTTCTAGCCCAGGTCAGGACCTTCAAATCTGCCATCTCCATCGGTTACTGGTACAGTCTGTCATCATGGCATAAAATGTACACAGAGGTTCCAAGAGCATCCTGGTGGCAGTTTTCTGTTTCGATTTATTTCCTCCTCCTTTTCATTCATGCCGCTGTTGCCGCCCAAAACGTCCAACTGCCCATCAAACATACATAAACACACCCACATACATCTCCACCACGCCTCCATTCAAAGAAACTCGCTGGTCATCAATGAGACCGCTAACTGTAGGCGTTTCCTGGAAAGTAGATAGAGTCAAAGGGGCAGTCGGTGACCCACATTTGTGCCTCGAGTGAGCCTCATCTCCAACCACTAGCACCTCTACAGTTGACCACCAATATCTCATTCATAGAAACACCACCCTCCAGGATAAAGCTCATCTCTGACCACTTTCTGCACCCAACCTGGTCCCTCTCACATAACAACCACATATCTTCACATCAATCTTATATTTTTTCCACCACATCTCTCAACCATACAGCTGTTGCCACCCATACTGTCCAACTGCCCATCAAACATACACAAACACACCCACATACATCTCCACCACACCTCCATTCGAGGAAAGTTATTGGGCAGTAGTAAGACAAGCACCAACTGTAGGCGGTTCCTGGAAAGTTGATAGAGTCAAAGGGGCAGTCGGTGACCCACATTTGTGCCTCGAGTGAGCCTCATCTCCAACTGTTTCTTAAATCCAACCTGACCCCGATTACACACACTCACACACCTCTAAGAAATTTTTTGATCCCTCTTTTCCTTAACCACTCAAACACATGCTCAAACACAAAGCAACATATCTAGTGTTCTTGTAAGTTACTCGGGCGTTAACATTTCATATTACTTTTTATTGTGGCCCTAAGAGCTCAGGGGATGTTGTAAAACCCCATACAGGTATGCTGCAAGAACAACAAAAGAAACTGCTCATAAGGACAGGTGTGTTCAGCCTGTTGTGTAACCTTTTTGGTAGTTGAAAACATACCAGGTAGTACTTGAGAATTAAAATGAATTTGGGTGGGGAAATAATAAGTTTGTCCTAGTCGTGCCCAACAGTAATCGTACGTATTTACAGTATCATATGAATAGCCTCATTTCTGCCACTGCTGCATTCTGAATTTTTTTGTGTTGTGTCTGAAGCTGCAACATGTTGGGCTGTAGTAACCATCACCACATTTAAAAAGCTGGTAAATCATCATTTATTGTCTCATCGTTGGTCTGCCAAAACATTATGAGTTACTCCAACATGAGCCAATTTGCATGGGTACTACTCTGAACTCACTAATGTTAGTACTTTTGCAAAATGCTGGATTTTCTCACACATTAGTAGTGTGATAACTTTCTCTCTTGCTTAAAACATGAACTTGAACATTGCGGCACTCCTTTGTCAATCTGTTGAATAATCAGGTCAAAGGTTGTGAGGTTATTTAATTCTTATATGGCTGAGATTGGCATTATATACTTGTCTGTATGAAGTCACATTGCACACTGGTTTTATGGTACTTTTTGCATTGAGCATCAGGATGTTTGGCTTCAAGTTGTGAGATTGAAATGACTGATTCAGCGGCTGATCAGTTGATAATTGTGAATCTATGTTGATCCAATGCAAAAAGAGACAGTTATTGACTGATGCTTTGCAGGCTGTTACAGTGTAAAAGCTAAATCTTTTCGCCTCATAACAGCGTCTCAACACGACAAGTCTAAATACTCAAATAAAGGTAAAATTATAGGAAGCATTCTGTTTTTCTGTGACCCTTACTGCTTTAAGTCCTCATGTGCTAAACTCAAACAGATCTGACTGATCATGTGAGTTTGTACACATGAATCGGTCTGGCAGTGTGGTCAAACAAGTTCATGATCTAAACTCAAATCTGCTGGTGTATTGTCTGTACACAGCCATGTGATTGTTTGCCTCTTCCATGAGTCACTGTTTCAACACTTCCTCCCTCCCTTCTCTTGAAACTCACACAGTCATGTTTAGTCTCATCCTGTGTCTGGCTCAACTTTGGAATGTCAAAGCTGCACCGTCATGTTTAGCGCTCAGCGCTCCTCCTCCTCCTGTTTTTCCAGGGAATGACTCAAACTTCCTTACTCATGTTTAGTCCCATAGCACCTCCCTCCTTCAGCACTTTTCCATGTATATCTCAAAGTTGCTGAATCATGTTAACTTTCAGTCCCTCCTACTACTTTTGCTGAAGTTGCAGAATCATGTTTAGCTCAGATTTGGTGAGGTGCTGTTTTCCTTCAGCCAGAGGGGAGGGGACAGTGAAGGACTGTATAAATGGAGGGAAGGACCGTGGCAGCCGAAGGACAGACTGTACTGGACATCCAGAGTGAAAACAGTGGATCATTGAGGATAAAAGCCAAACTACTGAACTGACGAGACTTTTCCCTGACTGGTGAGTCGAATTAAATGCTATTTCTATCCCTCAAACTTTAGATTTGAATGCCTCTTTCTCACACTGAACAAGTCTTAAATCCTAAAAAACTACAAAGTGTGAGCACGTTGGGAGACAGGGCTACTTCTAATCTGTCACATTAGGGGGGCAACTTAAGCAAAATAGGTAGCTAAGAGGTCAAGAAATCAGGTAAGAAATTCCAATCTCTTATACCCACTCTGCGGGGTTCACTTAAATATAGGAACAAGTTCTTAGAGGGGGCTGTAGAGGTCCTAATACTTAATGCCCTCCTTTCTGACTGATTATATGCATAATATTATACTTTTTGTGTTGTGTACAGTGTACATACTTGTATATTATCTCTTTATTTTTACTTGTTTTATTTATTTATTTATCTCTTTTTTTTTTAAATTTATTTTTTACTTATTTTGTCAATTATGTATCTCCTCTTTCTACTTTATTTGCACTGGAGTTACTGTAGTGAAAAGCAATTTCCCCCTGGGGATTATTAAAGTATTTCTGATTCTGATTCTGGTGAATAGGGGTGGAAATTTAACTGTGCGAAAGCAAAAAAAAAAGGACTAATTAAGCGTGCTTCTTGTATTATTTTATGTGTGGACACCAAAAGTGAGTAGCTCAAATCCCATCAGATATCATGTTACTGAAAATGAACTATGAGGGTACCGAACTAAATCTCTAAAAACTGACATAACAGCAAAGCACACATGATAAAATTACAGATTTCATTTTCATTTTAGAGAGACAGGGCCTGTATGCATATGGGCAGAGGTGCAGAGGTGTATTTACGTCGCGCCAATTCACAACAGTCGTCATCCCAAGACGCTTTCCAAAGAAAAAGAGCAGGTCTAAACCACGCTCATTGTTTGATGAATTATCAAGTGCCAACCATAAGATGGGACAGATTTAACCCATTTCATCTAACATGAGTGACTGTGGCAAGGAAAAACTTGTGTTATTTATGTTAATGAAACCCTTGTCTCCCTAAAAGACAAATGGCTGTGTCATGCAAACATTGTCCACAAATTAAAGGGTTACAATGACTGTATATTTGAACATTTCCAATCAAATTTATGATTTTTTTCTTTTTTTTTCATTGTGAAATTTTTTGACACTTGACTTTAAAGATTGGCTTTCTTTTCATGTGTCCCTTTTTTAAAAATCTTGTTTTGTTTTTCCAGGGTCATAATGGTGTCAGAAAAGAAGACAACGGCAGAGCAGATGACTGGCAGGTAAGAATGAGAAGCTGTGATTTATTCTCTCTCCAAATCAAACTAAGTCGTCCACATTTCACCTCTAGAATGATATTAATCCATGACTTTGTCCAAATTAAATCAATTTAAATTTTAAAAAATGGTAACGCTTTCTTTTACGGTACTCTTATTACCAGGTAATTAACAGGTAATTACATGAAATTATCTGGTAATTACATGATAACTACTAAGTCAATACTGTCTAGTTTTTCTTTTTTCTGTGCAGCTCCATTTTCAAAAGCTATTTGAGGTTCTTATTTTCTATGATTGACACTTGATACAGCCTATGGGCGTGCGAAGATTGTGTAGCGATACGCTGTTTGAGCCGAGCATTATCACAGCGACTCACCTGCTGAATGCGTACAATGTTACGGCGCAAGTGGTGGTTTCAGGAAGTGGAGAAAATCCTGGAAATACCAGAGCAATTCGGCTTCAAATTTGTTTGATGATGAAAGGTTACCTACCTGGTAGCGAGACATTATTGACTATGTAACAACATGTAATTACTAGATAATTTCATGTTGTTACTAGGTAATTACCTGTTAATTACCTGGTAATAAGTGTACTGTAAAAGAAAGCGTTACGAAAAAAATATATTACACTGGGTTGTAAAGATAACATCTGCATCAGTGCAGCAGCATCCAAAAGTGGGTCTTTAGTACAACATGTGCTGCTTCCTGACAGTTTTATCAGCTGTGGGTTCAGTAGTTCACGCCTTGTATTTACATAATATATAGACTGAACTTTGGAGCCACTTTTTCTTTATGTTTACCCTGAGCATTGGTCTGCTTTTAATGCAACCAAACAGATGCGGCTGTATTGATTTTAAATTTGTTGTTGTTGATTTTGCAGGGATCTGTCAGAATTAATCAAAGATGTGACAAAGGATAGTCACACCAGGGCGGAAAACACAGAGCTGATGCTCTGCTTCCAGAAAGCAAATGTCAGCCTGACACAGTACAAGGTAAAAAGTAAAAAAAAAAAAAAAAATTCTAGTCTAAACATTTTAAGTGGATTTTGGTTGGAAAGTAAATCTCATGCCTCATTGTACGGCTTGAATTCTGCCGTCTGCTGTGATCATTTCGTCTGACGATAGCTCTCCCTTTTTCTTCAGCTCCTTCTGTGCTCCCTGTACAAGATCTACGAGGCTTTAGAAGAAGCACTGGACAGGAACTCCAACCACCCTGGTGTTGCACCCATTTACTTCCCAGCTGAACTGGCCAGATTGAAGACTCTGGAGAACGACCTCGAGTTTTTCTACGGCAAGGACTGGAGAGAGAAGGTTGTTGTTCCTACAGCCACAAAAAGATACTGCCACAGACTCAGACAGGTGAGTTCAAGTGTCACAAGTTCAACACACACAAATACTGCTGTTCTCATCTGCAACAAAACTCCTTATACCTGTTTTTTTGTTGTTTTTTTTAGATTGGTAAAGAAAACCCTGAGTTTCTTATTGCCCATGCCTACACACGATACCTCGGTGATCTGTCTGGAGGGCAGGTCTTGGGTCGAATAGCCCAGAAGTCTTTGGGTCTGAAAAGCAGTGAGGGTCTGTCCTTTTTCGTCTTCCCTGGAGTGACCAGTCCAAACCTCTTCAAACAGCTGTACCGCAGCAGGATGAACAGTGTGGAGCTGACAGAGGAGGGGAAGAACGGCGTGCTGGAGGAGGCCGTCAGAGCCTTTGAGCTTAATATTCAGGTACAGAGTGATGATGGAGAAACCTCTCACAGTAATATGCTGCTTACAGGACAGTTGGACATCAGACTTTTGGACATTTGTCTGTGCACTTTTTGATGGTATTGTTGTCATGTTTTTTTTTTACAGGTCTTCGATGATTTACAGAAGATGGTTGTCTCTGAAAACACTCAGCAAAAAAATTCAACACTCTCCTCACTTGAGAACAGACAGCAGATCTACGCGAGCATGGTGAAAACCAGCCCACTGCTCAGGATGGTCCTGGGACTTTTTGTGGCTCTGGCCACAGTCAGTATGGGAATTTATGCGCTGTAGAGAAGATGTGAAGCAAGAGAAGACATGAGATGTTGGTCTGTTGCTTTTCAGTCTTGAAAAAGTTTTTGTACTGTGAAACTAATGCAGACCTGTTGATAATTTTTAAGGTGTTAAGTCTGTAAATATGGAATAAAAATGTAAAACTTTTTTAATATCACTGAGAATGATAACTTTTTTTCTGTTAATGAAGCTTGTTATGTTTTTTTAATCATGTCCAACACTATGACCAGTATACATTTTAAATGTCTGTTTTAATACTGTAAATACAGAACTTGTTTTTTTAAATAAAATCTTTATTGAAAAATGTAATTTTGTGAAGTATTTGTGTGCACTTCAGTTGGCCCTGCACATGCAGGCTGTTTTCTTTTGGTTTCTGACGCTGATGATGTTCAGTGTCCAGCTGGTTGACATTTGCACAAATGTTCTGGCATCAGAGCGAAGCCTGCTGCTGATCTTTTGGCCTCAAGTCTACTCTTGTGTTTCTGGTCAAAAACTAGGAAAGATACTTTCTATTCACATTTTCAACAGCGCTGATAATAACCAACTATGACATACAGAAGTGTAATATTTCCGAGATCTCTTCACTAGACTAACACCTCCTGTCAATACACTTTATTCTGCAACGACTGGTCCATTACCCAAATGAAACCCACTCATGTTCTGGCTTCAGATTCTTACATTAAAACATTTACAACCCTTCTTTGTCATTAATTTTACTAATGTAATAATCAGGAGTTTTAGACTGTGTTTTCAGATAAAAGGACATTCAAAGATGTCCCCCCTGAGTATCCTTGAAAATTGTGATCAGCATTTTTCTTTACTTTGGGAAGTTTTCTTTACTAAACTAAACTAGAAAAAATGTTAGTTTAGTTACTGTTGTATTACCTCATTAATTTCCTGCGTAATTAAAAAAACATCATTCCAAATATTGAAAACTCAGCAACAATAGTTATTTGTCTTGACAGCAGTGTTGCCTCTCAAACCCACAATAAATAAGATCCCATTTCACCTTTGCCTATTAACACTACCACAGTTAGCACAGTCAAAAAAGGTGAACAAGGAAGTTTTTGATATTTATTTTTATTTGTCTGGACTGCATTTACACCTGTGATTAATGTCTGTCCTGTCACCTAGAACATGTATTTCTGAGGGATTATTTGTAACTCAATAAATTTAATCTTTCAGTCACTCTTTTGTGTCAATTTGTCGATTTCAGTACTTGGAAAGTTGGATCATGTGAAAACTGTTACAGAGGAGGAACCTACTTCTCCATAGTATATAGTGATTACTTCACTTTATACTATGGAAATGAAATTGTTCCCATACATTTAACCCCCTTTAAATAGAAAGAACATATTTTCACACAGCTAATTTACTGAAGTCCAATCATGCTAGCTTTAAACCAAATAAAGAATAATGATTAAACAAAATATAGAGTGAACTTTTTAACCACAGTGTCTTCTCCGGCTTTCTCAGGCAGTAAACAGGGAAAAAAACCAACAACAACAACAAAGTCTTTTACAGATTAACACAAATCAGAACAGTGCTGGTATCTGTCTCCTCCTAGAGGACTAATAGAAAACTGTCAGAAATGATTGTACTTCACAGGAATTGGCTTACCTCAAACCCTAAAAAGGCACAGCAGCCTGAGTAATGCCTCTTCTTACCGTCCAAATCTCTAAAAACTAAACTTTACATTCAGGGCACATTTCTTTTTTCAACTAGGGCTTCTCTTTCGTCGCATGTCTAACACCAAAAGATACGATCATCTTTGTAACAAGACCAATAGAGGTAACTACATTAAGGTTTACAATCCACCAGATTTATAAACTATGTTTCCTCAACATGCCAGTAAACATTCACAATCCCTTCAAAAAGAGAGGACAAAATCACACAGACAAACATCAGAACTCACAACCGTCCATAAAATCCACATGCTACAGAGTGCCAGAGAAGGGGAATCCAAAGGTGCTTCATGGGGGGGGGATTGCACAGCAAATCTTGTCTTTGCAAATATTTCTGACGATACCCTAAAAAAAGGGACACACTCATGTAAAAACAAAGCGGAGACTTGGATCTCAAGGCAAAGCAAAGGACAGGGTAAGCATTTTGTGGGTAAGGCAAAAAAAAAAAACGCTCCTGAAACCAAGACAAACTCCATGGGCTCTATTTTCGTTCCTCGCTGGGGGCGTGGCATAGGCGCGGCATAAGTCAGGTCCGCCGCGCCGACAAGGCGCGTCCAAGCACATTTTGGTATTTTGGTGAGCGGTGCAGCCCGGCGTATCTATCCCCTCTCCCTAACTCAGCTCCTCCCAGCAGCGCAAGTCGTAGAGAGGGAGGAGAGAAGGCGTTGAGTGGGTTTAACACAGCTGAGACCTGTTTTCGCAAATCACATAAGCTCCTCTCCTCACCTTTAAATCCGCCACTGGCGAGGCGTATTACAATTTTCGTGAAGTAGTCAAAGAGATTAAGGGATGTCTGAAGACAGTAATGCCACACGATGGCGACAGAGGGCAGCTTCTCAACAAGTGTCACTGTAAGCGCTGCAGAGGGTGTCCTTCACACTCTCTCATATAAGCACAGATGGATTTGGTGTGTGTGTAAGGTTGGACCCACTAGTAAGACAAACACCCTTTTCCACAAATAAAGACACTCACATAAAGTTGCATATATTCAAACCTCACGTGACAAAGGTGGGTTGTGCGCACAGATCACAACATAAACTCCAATAATGGCATTAAAATCGGAACCATCTGTGCGTAACAATGCATCGCGCTCCGTGGCCTGGCTCTTTCTTTCATTGGTGTTGGCATATAAAATAAATTTGACTCAAAAAACTGAATATTATAGTATTCGTTTGTGGGTTTAAAGTAAAAAACTCTTCTGATCACTGAAACAAATCCTCTGTTCAGTCGCCGCAGCAGAAGCAGCTGCAGCGGGACGGGGAGAGGACACAGAGATATGTCTAGGTTGAGCTGCGCCAGAAATAAGAGGAAGAGGAAGACAGAAATAGGGGGTAGACGAATTTCATATCTTGTTAACTTTATTATGTGTGTCTACTAGATAATTAATTTAATTTAATGCGGTTTCAGCTGTGATGATTCGGTCAGGTTGTGTGTCTAAAAGCGTGCCAAACACGCTCATCAGATCAGATATAGATCAGAATATATCCATAGATCTAAATGTGTGTGCTGACTCAGAATATTGGTTGTTGATTACTTAATGCACTGAAATGTGCCTGACACTGTGGAAACCTGCCGGTGAGGCATCAGTGACATATGCCGATACGCTGCTGGTCTACCAAAATACCAGCTGCGCTCCGCCTGCACTGAAAGCTGACCAGGTCTGAATCGCCGAGCTTTCAGCGCACTTTCTACGCTTCTACGCACGAAAATGTCACTGTGCCAGCTGATTCTGTCGACACCTCCCCCTACCGTGCCACCACGCCCAGCTTGGCGAACCTCCACGTAAATACCAAACTGGCTGTGCGCCGGGCTCTGCCAAACGAAAATACCACTGCGCGGGGTCCGTCACCCTCCGCCGTGCCGTCGGCGGGCACAAAAATAGAGCCCAATATCTTCAATCTCTGTTCATATCTCCAGGAATAAAACATATTGCACATTACACCAGGAGGGGGCGGGGGATAAATTACACTGATGACATGCATCTTATCACCGTAAGAAATCAGACATTACAACAGACTTCCAGTCATAAAAAAGTGAAATCACTTTGCAATAAAAATTTTGCTACGTGTACAGCTTTCAATGTTCTCATGTATCTTGATTTGGCACATTGTCCTACAGTGAAAGGCAAAGAGTTTCTAAAGCCCAGATAGGTGCATAAAAGAGCAAACCAACACACTTTAGGGCACTGTTTTTAACACGGAACTGCCTCTTAACAAACCCTCCCAGTGCTTCAGACCTTGGCTACCTGTTTGAACAGCGAGGACAGTTTCAGCTAAGACAGATGCAGTTTTGCTTTCATCAGGCAGAAGCCGCCATCACACGGTGGCTCAGTTGGTTTCATAGGAGGACAGCAAAGCCGCATCTACTGGCTCCATACAGGAGGGACAGGTGAAAGAACGCATCAGCCAAGGATCGATGCAATCCACGTGGTAGATGTGAAGGCAGGGTAGAAACCGGATAGGATCGCCGTACTCAAAATCCATCATGCAGATCACACACCTGGAGGAGAGAGAAACAGTCTGTTATTTTTGTAAAATTAGGCCAGACAAATTGAGTGCTTTACAGATTTCCAAATATGGTGAATAGGTTATGATGCAACAGACTGAGCAGTAAGTATTGTTCAAAGAAAAAAAAACCTTATCCTGATTAACCTAAATACTACCACAAATTAGGCCATACAGTGATTTTTGAAACACCCAATTGAGCTTATGTGAAAACATTTAACTCGAGTTTTGCTTAGTTACTTTGCAATTCACTTATATGCTCCAGTCATTCAATATCACAGTCAAATAAACAAAATAACACAGACAACAGTGATTTAAGGCAGTGCAGGTCTTCAAATTCTGAATTTATTTGCCAAATTGTAAGATATTTGAGACAATATGAGTACCATACAACCACGAATCTAACAGACACAAAAACCCCACACTGTAAAACAAAACAGCACAGAACAAAACGGGAGATGCCTCGTAAAATTTCCATCAGGCAGTGTCTGTGTGACCACAGCGCCTGTATGGATGTATTCCCAACACTAGCTTCCCAAATCATCTAGAAAACAAGGCTAGTAACCTTGCAATATTTAAGAGTTATTCTCTTAGCCACTAACATACCGTTCATGAGTCTTCTAACAGCATGTGGTATTTTAAGAGAGCCGTCAGAGCATGTAAACAAGGTCATCAGGTTCGATATTTTCGACGTAGATGCTGCAGTTCAAGCCAAAAATATCCTTCCAAAGGGGGACTATCTTAAGACACGACCAAGAGAGCCCTTTACAACTTTAACTACTACCATCTGTCACAAATATCTGAAAAATGAGTAAACAATTTGTCCATCTTTTTTTTAAGGTCTGTAATGGATGACTGTAATCTAGGATTAATCGAGCCTTGGTGGATCTTTTCCATCGCTTCCATCTATACTGTAGGAGCCAAAATATAATTATTGAAAGTTTTATTTCTGTAGGTATGTCACTGAGGGGTGTGGTTTTGGGATGTTTGGCGGGTTATTTAAAGACTCAGGTGTAGTCAGACTATAGGTTTGGTAAGCACTGATAATTTTCTGTTGACCGTTTTGATCGTTTCTTATTGTTTTCACCGCTTCATTCATCCATCCTGTTTTAACCTCATTTCATCTTTTTAGTTGAAGGCAAAAGTATTGGACCCAGATCAGCGTGTTGTCTTTCCCTTTTTTGAACGATAAATCATTTTTTCTAACACTCAAATCGGACTGATCATTCAAGCAAGTCACAAATGCAAGTGAACCTAAACCCCAGCGGCCTTTTTTTGTTGGAGGAAAGCAGTCGCTACATATACCTTCCCCAACACCGCCATACTTAGATCTCCACTTTCATTCCATTAAAAGCGAAATTCTGCTTTATGAGGGAGAAAAGAAGGAAAATGTTCGGTGTGTGTGTGATGCAGTTTTCCAATCTCAAACTTACTCTTTGACTTTCTTGTCAGAGGGGTCGGAGCCTGGGTCAAAAATGCCTCTGGGCAGGTGCTGAATGAGACCAATACGCTGAGCAATGCGAACCTGCTCCTCCTCCGTCAGCTGGTAAACCAGACGACTCTCACCTGGGTTGGGATGGTACACTGGTGCCGGCTGAGTTTGCTCCTAGAAATAACACGTGGAAATTCCAAAATGAAACACCATATGCAGACTCCTGACTGTGTTTCAGAACGTGTGGATGAGAAACACTCCTTTGTTATGGATTTATCTGAAGGCAACAGCACAGAAAAGTGGGACATAGTTCACTTCACTAAACACCAGTAAACCTCAGATATCCTAACTTTAAAATCACGTTGCTTGTTCACACAAAGTAGAAGCACAGCAGTTTCAGAATAAAATTCGATTTTCGATCCTGTCATTAAAACTAGAAGAGATAAATGCTAAAATACTTAAACAAAATTAATGATATAAAATTTAGTTAAATGCAAAACTTAAAAGGTATGTTTTGAGTTTGGTTTCAAAGTCGTTAATATTAGGTGCAGTCCTCAGGTCTTCAGGTAAGCTGTACCGTAGACGGGGGCCATAGTAATAAAAAGATGCTTCAATTTACCTTCTCTCCTCCAGCAGCCGCTTGTTTGTATGATCATTTCTTCATGGAAATGCAATCAGACCGGGACGTTAAGGCTGAAAAACTACGGCGTCTGCAGTGCAAAATGTTTAATATGGTGATTATAACTTCAAGGAAATGATAAAGTAATGATCATAAATGTTCTTCCTTGAGCTGCGTCACCCCGCAGCAGTCCGTAATGGACTGGCCCGAGGTCTCACTACAAACAAGCGGCTGCTGAAGGAGAGTGGGTGAGTTGTGTTTAGTCTCTTTGCTAAAGAAATTCGGCAAAGGTAGAAAGATGTTTGGTGGCTAGTACTATGGCTGGGACCCTTTATGTACTGTTGATGAAGTTAGGCGCTGTTCTGAACATTATTTGTGGCTATAGAGTGGCGTTTTAGTTGAGGTTTGTTTCTGGCTCCTCAGACTGCTGTGTATTGCTGTCGTGCGGTCGTTACTAATGTTGGTATAACTAGAGAATAAAGCGGTCGGCAACATTCATCTCTCGATAGGGTGTCTAACTTTGTGTTACGGTGTGTTTGACCCTAACACATTTTTACGCCGGAATATCCCTTTAAGATGATGACTAAAGCAACAGGTGTGCTAACTTTGAAATGGAGGTAAATAACCCGATCTCCAGTCTACATGACCAGCATGATCCGAGGTTTGAGCTGACAGGCAAACGGATCATGAAAAACTCAGTGGAAGTGAAATCTTAGAAAAAACGGCCCAGGTGCAGCGCTCCAGATCCCCGGGTTCGATTTAACTCGAGCCCCGGCAGCTCACCTGGTAGGGTGGAGGAGGCTCTCCAGGCAGACTGCCCCCCTCGGACTCGTTCAGCAGCGACAGGTCATCCGCCCCTTGAGAAAACAGGCAGTTCCCCATCGATGTGAGACCACCATGAGAGGCTCCTCTGCTCTCTGAGGGGGACAGGACTCAGCAGACTGAAGCAAATGTTTGCACGGTTAGCTTAACAGACTGTTAGCAGAGAGTTTGCTGTCATTAACGTGAAAAGCTGGTGCGTAAAACAGAGAGAAAAGCGTCGTTTTTTTGCATTAAAGTTAACTCTCAAAGTTACAAGTCAACGAGTTTGTAATTTAGGTTTCAACAGCAGACAGCGAGTTGGGATTATCCGTGCAGATGAATGTTGGTTTCTTGTGTTTACACTGAAAAAAGAGAAATTAAACCGGAAAACCGTCATCAGGATGTTGGAGCAGAATGTTTGGTGTCACTTTCAAAATAAAAGCTCCAATTAAGACAAGGTTTTAAACCTGAATTCAACTCAACTTTATTTATAGAGCACTTAAAAACAACCAAAGCTGACACAAAGTGCTGGATATGATAACATAAAAACACAAAAAAACACAAATGGTTGTTTTAAAATATAATAAAAAGCAATAAAACAAAAGCCGTCTCAAGCTGGGTCAAAAGCCAAGGTGTAAAAGTAGGTTTATAGATAGGTCATATACTATATACATATATATATATATATATATATATATATATATATATATATATTCATACCTGTTTTTTGTTGGCATTGATCTTTCTTTTTTATATTTTTCTTATACTTGTCTTTAATACTTTCCTTCAATTGCACTGCTCTTTCTTTTTTTTTAATTTTTTTACCATGGTTCTTTGTCTTATTTGTTAGTTTTTTTGTACCTGTTATGAATGTGTATGTTGTGTTTACTGCTTCTGTTAACGACTTTATTTCCCCACTGAGGGATGAATAAAGGAAATCTAATCGGATCTAAAAAATAAAAATAATAAAAAAGAAACAACACCAAGTAACCAACATGGAAATTTGTCATAGATTTTTACAATTAAATTCTTCCTTTGTGAAATTATACAATAAGCCAGAATATTTGCTGTATTCTGTATGACAGATTCGGAGAATAGTTCACTTGTAAATCAAACGTGACATGAACAATTCTGTAACAGATATAGATTGCGTGTAACTGTAACTTTGTTTTCTTGAAGAGGAAAAAACGGTGCTTTTATTTTGAAGAGTAGCCGGAAATAACTCTGTTTACTAAGGGACATGTAAAATTAATATTTTCTTTTGTTGCTTGACAATTTTTTTCAACACTAAAGCTCTTGGGGGGCCGAGAATCGGAAGAAACATAAGTTGACATTTAAATATGGCACAGTGCTCTTTTATTGGTATGTTGGTTTCGTGGTTGTCCCCAAACCCTGACACAAAATATTCCAATCAACTCTAAAATGCTTTATAGGATTACATGTTTAAATAGTTACATGTGAACTTTTCTTTTCCTTCTTCTTCAGGTTATTAATCAAGTTAATTTGCAGTCATTGCCAATGTCATAAACAGCAGTTACCTGTGTTGTTTCATGATGAACCAACATCTTGAATAACATTTTACTTGACTGGGCATGAGGATACTTGGGTTCAACCTATATACACCTACAGACATGAGAATTGGCAGGCATATTAATTATACATGTCCAAACCTACAAACAAAGACTCTCTAATGGTATATCCGACAATTTTAAATGGTTGGATTTCTGATAATTGGCAATTTACAAGGTCCACATTGAAGAAACTCCTCAGGGTTTAATTTTAACAACTCCAAATTTGATGATACAATCCAGATGAAAGGTTTTAAAATCCGTTTTTTGTTGTCATGTTTTGTTGTTGTTCGGCTCAAAAAAGAAAGACGAGGCACAGCGAGATGGTACAGTCAAGAACATCCTTTTTATTCAATCAGGTGCTGCTCTTCTCAAACTGTGTTTTTCTTCTTATGGAAAAGAAACTGTAATTAACACATGCATTTCACCTAGAGCTCTGGGGGTGTTCTGACAAAGAAGTGGTGCTGCACTGAGGGCGTACACAGAGGCGTACAAGAGCTGGGAGTCAGGGGGCCTAGGGTGCTGCCTATTACACCAATTACCATACACGCTTAAGAATAGTAAGAACAAAATGAACAACAGAACAAAAACACGGAGCAGTCGGGCATGAGGTGGTCGGAGGAGAAAAATGGAGGGACTTCCCTGAATTACACAGAAATGTGAGAGATCAGGTTCATGCTGGTTTTTGTCTATCTGATTGGTGTGTTGTAAATGGCTAATACTGCTGAGGGTTTGCTCTGTGTGAAACCCAACGTGAACATTAATACTTCACTTTAAAAGATTATGGGATATGTCCTGGAAATGCAAACACTCCCTCTTTCAGCCTCATGCAGGACAAGTCCGGTTATAAGGTGCTTATAGCTTTCATGTACAGTCTGAGGCACCCTCAGAGGGCGCCTCGATGACAGCATACCCTGATAGCAAAAAAAGAAATCCAATTTAAAAAGAAAAAAAAAAAATAAAGGGAATAAAACAAAGCCAAAAATAAATAGCTGAAACAAAAGAGCAAACTCTTATGCTGGTCAAAGCAGCCCCTTTCCAACATTTCAAAGCAGTTCATCCAGCCCTCAAGACACCATTAATCTTCTCAAGAAACCTCTTTCAACCCCTGTCATCCCTTCCCAACCCACCCAAAGGACACCCCCAAAAGCCCGTCAGCGTAATTTGTTCACTTACATTAGCTGTTGAATGGAAAAAGCTGAAGAAGATGGGTATGGTAATACAATGTGAAGCATACAGACAAGAATAACATGTGAGCTAACTGCATTCTGCTCAGACAAAAAGTTTTTCGGCAATTTTTTTATCCCCCTCCCAACAGAGGTGAGGGTAGGACAGAGAGAGAGAGTGGGAGAGAGAGAGAGAGAGAGAGAGAGAGAGAGAGAGAGAGAGAGAGAGAGAGAGAGAGAGAGAGAGGGAGACAGAGAGTGACAGACACACAGTTACAGACTACTCCAGTGTCTAAGGGAAAACAGACATTGGAGACAGAGGGGAAGAAAAAAGCAAGAGCTGAACGAGAACAAGTTTTTTTGCCTTTTCAAAATGTTTTTTCATCATCATTTATCAATAAAAAGTAAAGAACTAATTCACACCAGTTTCCTTTTGTACTATATATATATGTATGTATATATATATAGGGCTTTGAAAAGGAAGAGAGGATATAGAGGAGGTACAATGGAGGGGATTCATTTCGAAAGGCAGAGGAAAAAAAGTTGTCCTTAAGCGCTGAATCGGCGATGGCTTTTTTTTTGCCTCCGTGTGGCAGGCAGGGACAACTTGCTACCTCGAGCCATTTGGGAAAAAAAAGGGGCGATATGGATTACAAAATGGAGTCTGTGAACAAAAGGCACTTTTAAGGGACAACCTTTAACTGCTGGGAAACTATACACTACAGCACAAGCACTATAAGAGTCATTTACAGAAGAGGGGGTGGAACAGGGGGGAGGCTCACCTTGCTGCCTGTTTTTAAGTGGTTCAGACTCCAGATTTCTGACGGGATTTAAGCTCCTTTTCCCCCCCTTTTGCTTTCAGAAGCTTCCAACCTAATACTCTTTTCCATTTGGGTGTCGGTCTCAACACAACCAACTGAATCAGAGCCTACTTTAGATTTCGAGGACGATGTGAGGAAAACATTTCTGCGTGTGAAGCATCTCCCAGAGAAGGGAGGACCTTGTCGTGTGTTTATGAGAGAAATGAGTTAAAACTGGGAGGGTTGTTCTGTTTTCTGCTGGTGAGTTTCAGGCAGTGCATGGGTTACGTCGTGGGTTTTGCTTTTTTTCTAAAGGTTGAACCGAAATGCCTTTTGTGTCACAACCTTAAGGGCTAGGAACCTCTCCCCCCTGCTCGGTACAAATAGAAGAAGAATAAAAATAGAGAGAGGAATAACGCTGCTTCCTAAATGGTCTGTAAATTTTTGTTCATTACCATTCATTTACAATAGGTATGAATGTACTTTATAGTGTTAAAGCACCAGTTTTTTATCTGATGATAGAGATTTTTTTTCCTCAAGTCGTGAAGATTTTTTTTTCCTTCAGCCCTCCCACATTTTTATAAACAACTGATTACACATAAAACATTAAAAAAGAGACAAAGGAAATAAAAACAAATACCCCCAACTTACAAAGACTAGGATTTTTCATGGCCCTCGAGTTTAGAGTCCTGGAGCCTACGGACTTGAAACAAATACATTTTTTTTTCTCTTTTCTCGTAGCTTTCTTAAAAATCTCTAACAAACACAATGATCTACCCAATGCATTGCACGTGGCTCAATCGACACATATTTTCAATAATAATACTTTCCATCAAAAAACAAACACTTTTTTTTTCTTCAAACCTAAAGTCGATTTTTGACATGTTTATCTAGGTATTATAATGCTGTGCTGCAGACGGCAATGGTGTGTGTCTTCTGATCTGCACTGTTAACAGTAAGGTGATGTTACTGAAACAAGTCGTGGAGGGGGGGTGTTAAGGGAGATGAGAGTTCAGAAAATAACTAGACTGCCAACCAGCTCATGTAGTAAAAGTTAAAAAGGAGCATATATCATAAATATATATGTATAAGATCTCTCTCTCTCTGTCTTTACAAAAAAAAAAAAAAAAAGTTTGCAGTCCTCTATAAAGATCTGTCCTCGGCCAATGGTTTCCACATGCACCAACGCTACCACTTCCTGTAGCTGTAGCTTATATGTGGGAAGAGAACCTGAAGTCACTTAATTTCTAATTGCATGAAGGGAATACAGAGGCACTTTCATATATTGTTATAGACTTGATATATGGTTTTAGTACATAGAGCTAATGTTACTAGAGGCTGAGAACAGGGCCTCAGACCTGTTTACTATCCCTGCAAAACAGAACCAACAGCTAGGCAGTCCAGTTATTTTGTGAGGTCGGCTTTTGTTGGATTGTGTCATGATGAATAAAAAAAAAAGAAAAAAAAGAAAATAGCAATTTTAAATGTGAACATTTATATAGAAAAAAAATCTCAAATTAAAAAAAAAAAAATCTTAAGTGAATGAAAAACCATTAACAAAGGCAGTTTGGAGAACCAAATATAAAGGCTTCCCTTTATCATATAAATGTCAGGTTGGTGGTGGTGGTAGTGTGGGTTTTAAATGTGCGCTTGTGTGTGTGTGTGTGTTCATATGTGTTTGTGTGTTTGTTGTCCTCTGAATTTTCCTCTGACTGGACTAAAGGATACAGGGTAAAGCAATGCAAAGGTTGCATGTGATGAGCTGTTGTTACTGTGCTGTAAGAGATTCGAGAAACTGCATATACTATTTTGTTGATTTCTTGTTTTTTTTTTAGCACAATACTTATTGTGTGCTGAAAACAGAAGCAAAAAAAAAGTG